TAACTGCCCCAGGAAGGAATCCCAGAACAGGCCACAAAATAGAAAGCTAAGGCTGTTACCTAGTGGAGTGTCACACAAGCATTCTTAACAGACCATTACTTTTGCCCTGGGCTCAGGCCAACCCGCTACCATATTTAGCACAAATTCTTGGTTTCCTTTTACTTCTGCCCTCATTCCAAACTAGAACAATTACTCTAAGCTAATGTGGTCACTGAAGAAACAGGGCCTGTTTTTGTCTGGGTCCCAGTTTCCCTAGGCATTAACGGCCTGTGCGTTTATAGGGGGCTTATATTAATAGACAACAGGCCGGGTTTCACTGGTTCTCATCTCCGCCCCTGCTAAAGTCAACTCCTGGCAGAAGTCCTTTCTTTATTTCTAGGAGGTATTTCTCAGCTGCTCACACAAAAGTCTAGTCTGCTGTTAACACCTGCAGGGCCTGGCTGCTGCTCCCAGTGGGCACTGGAGGCAGCAGTGCCTGGCAAAGAGTTAGTATTCAAGAAATAGTTTTTGAACGAATGAATGAGTGAGTGAGTGAATGAATGAATGAATGAATGAATGAATGAATGAATGGCTGTCTATCCAGGACAACAGTTTTCAGTTCTTCTCAACCTGGGATCAGATTTCTAAAAATGCTGATGCTGGAGTGCCATCCCCAGAGATCCCGGTTCAATTGGTCAGGGATGGGGCTAGGCACAGGAATGTTTCTAAGCCCCTCCAGGTAATTCTAAGGTGCAGCCAGGGTTGGAAGCCACCCGCACAGGGCAATATCAAAAGTATAACTTTGGAGAGTTTCATCTCAGGTCTGCACCTGGCAGCCCCACCCCACAGGCCACACTTTCTCGTCCGGCACCACGTGGGATGCAGCAAGAGTCCTGCTCAAAAGAGCAGAGGGAAAGGAGGAAGCATATTCCATATTTTTCTGGCTCGGGAGAACGGAACAGTTTTATCACTGGGTGTAAAATGTTGCAAATTCCTAGGACGTTAGGCCCCCCGCTGTTCAGCTCTAGTGATGGGACCGTCTGGGGGGACTCTGGGTCTCTTCTTGGAAACGCGGATGCCGGGAGCGGCCTGGCCCTGCCGACAGGAGCCGGGGGGCTCGGGCGCCCGGCCTCAGGACACAGTCCTGCCGCGGGGTGCTGCAGCCTGCTCGAGGCTGGGCGCAGACAGTCACCCTCATTTCTGGCTCCCGGCCAACTTGCCTTTGTCTTTTTATTTTTTATTTTTAGTATCATCTGTCCATCCAGGGAAGGGCTGTACAAACGGACTTGAAATAACCAGGTGCAGCGATCGTGACATCATTGGTATTTCTTACAGGAGACAGAAACCTGTCCACTTTTCTGTCGAAGCGTGACCTTCGCTGGCTCGAGGCAGCTGGCCAGGACACGGAAGCTCTAATTATCGGGTTTTGTAATGACTGTTATATTTTTCCAGTGTAAGCCCAGGCCCAGAGAAAAGGGAAAAGCTATTGATGGGGACTCTTGGGTGTCTTATAAAATGTGCGATGAGAGCCCATTTGTCCTACACTCTGAGAGGTTCCTTTGCCTCGCCAAGGAAAATAAACACTGGAAAGAAACGAAAGGTCCTTCTTTTTGACATACTTTGCACAGCGAACAGGGACAGGGATGTGCCATCTAGCACCCTAAAATAAGGGCGGTTGTGCAATCCAATTCCTAGGGCTCCATCCAAAGGAGAGGCTCAAATGTGCACAAAAATATACGAACAAAGATGCCCGCTGCGGCCTCTTATGTAACTGCCACAAACTATAAATAACAAATGTCCATCGGTAAGGGGTGACCATTGCAGTCACTACTACAAAGCCATTAGAAAGAATGCGACAACTACAGTTGCAACTTTGCTGTTAAGTTAGAAGCTGTTTGAAAACAAAAAAGTATCCCCCCAAAATGGGCGTGACAAATTAAGATTTCCCCCCAAGAATGCAAGGATGATGCAACATTAGGAAGTGTTTCGATAGAACTCGTTATTTTAAATCCTAGCCGGAGAGAGAGAACAGGAATGCGACAGACCCGGAGGCACCAGCTTGGAAAGATGCCCACTCTCTATTAAGTGGAAAAATGCAAGTTGCAGAAAAAATATAGTATGATATTATTCATATTTTTGGAATTAAACTAACAAAGAACTCTGAGTGTATATGTATAGAAACACACACACATACTTTACCAAACTACCTATGTGACTTTGGAGCGAATCTCTTTAACTTCTCTGTACCTCAGTTTTCCCATCAGTAAAATGGAAACAATAAAGCATCGGCCTTACAAGGTTGCTATGAGGACTAATGAGATCCTTGAAAACACAGTGCCTGGCACCTAATAAATGCTCAGTAAATGTCATCGTTATCATTATTCTTTTGTCAAAGGAAGACTCGGAGGCCGAAGCACTTAGGAAAGAAAAACACTTACTTGAAATGCAAAGGAGTCCAGCTTCAAAACAACCAGCCAGCCAAATAAAAAGCACAACCCAACTATTTAAAAGAAACGGATGCAAAACTGCCAAGGTTACTGAGTTTTACGTTAGTCTGTTCATGATTTATTTTTTTAAAAAGGCAAAACAATATCTTTCTTAAAAGATTACAGTATCCACAAAGAAAGCGACTTATGTTTAAGCGCAAAGGGCAGGGATGAGCTTGTCTTTGCCAAGACTTACGGGAAATACGTGGTTTTAATCCTGGAGGGTTGCAGGCTAGACAGACAGGCCCTGCTATCCCTGCTTATCTCAGGGTGCAAAGTGCTGTGTCCTTCTGACCATGACACACACACAACGTGCTCAATCATAGTGATGCAAGAGAAGGTGTCAGCTTTCCTTTCATATTATTCGTGGGAGGAAACACTCGAACACACGGTTAACAGTGGTTATCTCTGGGAACCGGGGTTGGGAGAGGCGCCTACTAGTTACTGTATATGTTTCTGCAGCGTTCGAAGGTTTTACATGTTCACAGATCACATGGGTAGTTTGTAAAGGAATCAACGAGATCCTATCAATTTTAAATATCGGAGCCATCCTGTTTCTTTCCAGTTCTGCCATAGCCGATGGGATAGTTTGCTTTCGAAGCGCATTGGAAAAATATATATTTTTTTTGTACCCACTCAAAAAGAGTTAAAATGGTACATTTTATGTTATGTGTATTTTGCCACAGTTTTTAAAAAATATGATTTTTAAAGAGAGAAGAAGGGAGAAGGGGGGGAGAGAGAGAGAGAGAGAGAGAGATAGACACGTCAATTGGTTGCGTCCCGTACGCATCCCTGGGCATGTGGCCTGACCAGGAATGGAACCAGCAACCTTTCGGTGCACAGAATAATGCTCAGCCAAGTCACACTGGTCAGGGTCATGACTTTTTTTTAACTGATGTCTGGTCCCCGCACCAGTTAAATCAGGATCTTTCCAGAACAGGGCCCAGGTGTCTGTATGAAAATAATAATAATTAATAATAATAATAACCAGGTGTTTCTAACGAGAACTCCAGAGTTCAGGACTCAGACATCTGAAAGTCGCCACGCCAGCAGTCCCTGGCGTCCCTGTAGGTCCTGGCTGCCCCATTCCCACAGAGGGCTGGCTGACAGCAAGTCTTCTTCATTGCTGAGTCCCCTGGCCTGTTGCTGACTAAGGTGGCCTGGATCCAAGAATTAATGGAAGGCTGTGGAAGCAGAAAGCTCTGTGGTAGACTGGGTGTTTCTCTGGCTTGTAACTGACTGCATATGCCTAACCCTCCCCCACCCCAAGAGTCCAGGAAGAGGAGTGATTTTTACTCAAGTGCTGTGATTCAGGATGAAGACCTGGGGTTCCTACAATTCGCAGCACTGAGCGAGTCCCTGTGTCCGTAACTTATGGATGCATAGTTCCAGTCTTTGGACTGAAGCACAACCCTGCAGGGATTCTCAGCAGTGGGAGTTATGGTAGAGGCTTATTATAAGAGAAAGGAAGGGGCTCTGGCCTTCAGCTTGGCAGCAAGCATTCTCTGGGCACCCCTACTTCGCCTGGAACTGAGCTAGATTCTAGGTCAACCTCAAGATGCCTCACGTGCTATAGGGGAACAGACATGTTCATTCAGCCAATATTTCTTGAGCTCCTACAATATGCCAGACACTGCTCAAAGTATTAGCAACAAAGGCAATATTTAAAATAATTTAACAAGTTTGGCAGGGGCAAAGAATCAGAAAGGATGCCTTTCTGGGCCCAGTGATAACCCTTAAATTGCTGGATGGCAGTGAAGTCTGGGGGAATTCAGAGGAGGGGCCAGGATGGCTGGGGCACTGGGATGGGTAGCTGCTATCCACCAGCCAGTACAGAAACATCTTGATATTTTAACATCCGGCAAAGCCCTATGAGTGGGTACCAGGTGGATGACAGCTGGGCTTGGGCACAGAGGTGGACCGTTCAACCAAAGTCCCTGACCTCATGGATCAACCTTCTAGTGCAGCAGTAGGAAAACTTTTTCCATCATGGACCAAATAAATATTTTAAGCCTTGCAGGCCTTAGAGTCTCTGTCCCAGCTACCCAACACTGTCATTGAAGCACAAAAGCAGCCACAGACAATAGTAAACAAATGAGTGTGGTTGTGTGCCAATAAAACTTTATTTACAAAACAGCAGGCCGAATGTGGCCCATGGGCCACAGTTTGCAAACCCCTGTTCTAGCCGATGCGACAGTATGCCTGTTAATCCTTTCATTGTACAAATTTTTATCAAGCATCTTCTCCATGTCAGATGTTATACTGGGCTCTGGTATACTATGCTGAACAGGTAATGGTCCCTGCCCACATAGCATTTAATGGGAAAGGCAAAATCAATCATCTTAATATACTATGGTAAATACTAAGCTGGAAGTAATCAGGAAATACAGAAGGGGAAGTTAACACAGCCTGGGAGTTCAGGGAAGTCTTCCTGGAGGAGGTGATTATGTGTTGCCTGCTCAGATCAGCTCGAGAAGCACATGTGTTTCCTTGTGGGTTGTCTGTCATCACTCACTCTTCCCTTGTGTCCCCCAGTCTCTGAACAGCTACAACAATGGAGATGTCGAAGGATCCAGGCGGCTTGGGAGGAATGCCAAGTGGGTGGCCATTGCCTCCATCATTATCGGCCTTCTCATCATCGGTATTTCTTGTGCAGTTCACTTCACAAGGAAGTAAGTAGGCTTTTTTGAATCCCTCCCAGTGTAAAATGCCTGTTCTTGAATGCCCATTGGGATATGTTAGGCTAGGCTGGGTTATACTCTGGTAACAGACAATCCCAAACAAAAACATTTTCATTTTTTTCTTCACTGTGGTTACATGGGCCACAGAGGTCTGTGAAGGGTCTCTCCTCCACATAGTCATTCAGGGCCCCATGCTTCCTGAAGCTCCATCATATTGTAGCTGCTCTATTTAGAACAGAGGTCAACAAACTTTCCCTATAAAGGATCAGACAGTAAATATTTCAGGCCTTGGAGGACATATAGTCTCTATCACTATCTCAGTCGCAACTACGTAACTCTGCTACTTTAGCACAAAAGCAGCTATATACCATACGTGAATGAATGGGCATAGCTGTGGTCAATAAAACTTTATTTACAAAAAAACAGGTTGTTAGCTTGTGGACCATGGTCTTCCAACCTCTGATCTAGAATATGAGGCCTCCTCAGGTTAACACAGGGGAGAGAAAACTAGAGAATCAATCGCATGTGGGTTTTTGCTGGCTTGGCCCTGGAGTAACATATGTCACTTAGGCTCACAATTTACTGGCTAAAATGAATCACACAGTTCCACCTAACTGTGACAAAGTGGGAACCTGGGAGAGTAAATGGGATATTTAGGATTATTACTTGTCCTGCCTTACTGTCGGATCTGCTCAATGATTTCCTGCATGGTTCTGCACTCAACTAGCCTAACTGTTCTTAAAGGGCAGAAGAGTCACCACATAGTTTTGGTATCGCCAACAAGCTCTCATCTCATAAGGAGATGGATGCGTTGATGTTTCTCTCTGGATTTGTACAAATTTATTCTGGTTTCTCCGACCAGCTGAGATGGGCTCCATCTGCTAGAATCAATGACATCTTCCATCAGAGGTTTGACAGAGGGTAAAGTCATGTGATGGACAACCAAGACTCAGAAATGAGAGGCCCGGATCCATCTCTGTCTCCCTGTACAACTCCTGGAAAGGCAGATAAGAACTCTGAGAAATCCTCTAGCTTTTCTGCCAGAACAGCAAGTTATTCCTGTACCATTTCCCACCAACTGAGGTCAGCGTCTTTAGCTTGATCTCAGGAAGGGATCAATGGGTGGGTGAGGGAGGAAGGCAACACCCTTTAGCCTGCCGGATGAGCCAGCCCAACCTTGGCAATGAACAGCATAGTGGATGTCACAGTAGGCCAACTTCCTATGGGACAAGCCAGATCCAGGAGCCATCGGGGCAACAGGATGTAGGAGATGTCAAAACAGAAAATGTCACAAAGGGAAGAATAGTGGAATCTCAAGGTTTCTTGCCTGCAAGATTGCCAACTGATGATGATGTCCTGTGAAGGTGAAGACAGTTGGAGAACAGATCTGAACACACCCAGCTTCACCCTGTCATGAAGGTGTGCGGGGCAGAGCCTGGGGCTGTAGAGTGTGGGGTTAGTAGCGCAGGTTCGTCACCAAGACTTCCTGGTGCAAGTCCCCCCTCTGCCCCTTACTTACTGTGAGACCATCAGGCTGATGTCCCTCAACCTCAGTTTCTTCCTCTGTATAATGGGAATGATAGTAGTACCCCTTTAACAGAGCAATTGTGGAGGTGTATTAGATGACCCACAAAATGTGTACAGCTCGGTGTCTGTTTCCTAGTTGGCGCACAAAAAATGCACACTATTTATGAATCCTGTTACTACTGTTGTCATCATCCTGACTAGGAGGAGACCTGAGAATTTAAGATGCCACTAAATGGAGTTCAAGGCCTTGAACTCATGAGCCAAATTCAAAGGAGAGCGTTCCAGGGGAACAAGGCCAAGTGTTGGCCCAACTCCTACGGCCTTCTGAAAACACACACTGCCCAGATCCGTGCGTGAGCTAAGTGGGTTATACAATAGGAGTGGCTGACCCTGACACAGAACTTACCATATACCGGGTACTGCTCCACGCCCTTGCGTGAACTAATCCTCATTGACTCCTCAGAGCAACCCTATGAGGCACTAGTACCCCTATTTCACAGATGAAGAAACTGAGGCCAGGAGAAGTCAAGAAAACAAAGAGTTGCCTGATGTCTCACAGCCAGTGAGTGGTCAAGGCAGGGTTTAAACCTGGGATATCTGGCTCTGGAAGCTGTGTTCTTAACTGTGCGCAGCACCACACGGCCTCGAAGCCAGCGTGTGCCTTCTAGTGCTCTCAGTAACAAAGGCCAGGGGTGGCACTCACCCTGTGGCTTCCTCCAGAACCGATTCAAATCCTAGCTCTGTCACACAGACCACCCTGGCAAGTTATTAAACTCCGTGCCTCAGTTTCCCTATCTCTAGAGTAAGGATAGAATTTACTTCCGTATCTGTAGGGTCAGGTTCCTTTTAGGTAGATACCTTTCCCTCCATGTTATCAAAGAACATCAGTTAGAAACCACGAAGAAACTCCCATTGAAAGGCTTTTCTGTGTGTGTGCATGTAAGAGAGAGCAAGAAACTAGAGAATGGAATCAATTCTGTCTTCCATTAAGACCAACAACAAGGCCAATTTCTCAGTCAGCCTTTGAAATACAATTTCCCAGCCGTGGAAGGAACTGAATGGCAATACGAGATTACAAAGCAGAGGTTCCCAAACTTCGGGCTGCCTGAGCTCCCTGGGGAGGTTGAGGAGAAGTTGGCATCCAACTCGCTATGTCAAAAGTGAGGCCCAAGAATGAGCATTTTCCAGCTCCCGCTCCCACCCAGGAATCCAGGTACAGGAGGTCAGGAGAATGGTCGTTGCCAAACCCTCGCACACTTCCTCCCTCCCAATGCAAAGAACGCACCTCCCGTTGCCAGCCATTCACCCAGAGGTCAGTTTTCTTTACATCGGCAAACTCATAACCCGAATGTGTTAGATCTACCTCTGGGCCAAGGAGGGAAGTCAGGTTACTGCCCAGGAGATGGACCCACCGGAGGCTCTTCTGTAACAATCTCAACAGGCAGCGAGGGCTTCCGTGGAGGGGCTGGGAAACCAGACTTTACAGCCCACCAAGCCCAGAGGTCAGAAGGGCCTCTCTTTACTGGCTTCGATAAATTGAGGTAAACACAAGTCACACCTAGGTTGCCACCACCAGTGGAAAGATCTGTGCTTTCAAAAGGATGCAAACAGGTGGACATTGGACAAAGAAATCAGAATAAACATGAAAAAGATGTTGGGCCTCACTGGTAACCAGGGAAACAGAAACTAAAGCAGCAATGAAATACTCTCTTGCCTTTGTCTGCCAGGTTGGAACAATTAAAAAGATGGATAATACTGAGGTTGGCGAGAGTGTGAAGAACTGGATGCTCTGCTGCTGGTGGAAGAGTAAATTGGTACAGACTTGGGGCGGTTAATTTGGATGTACCCGTTAAACTTTTAAAGTCCATGTGCTCTCCCACTCAGCCAGTCTACGTCTCAGTATCCATACAGGTGCACAAAAAGGCATTAAATAGCAGCTCTTTCTCCTTAGCTACACATTAGAATCGCCTGGGGAGTTTTGAAAAATACCATCGCCCGGAGCCCACCCTGGACCAGTTAGATTAGAATCTCCAGCGACAGGGCCGGACCTTGGGAGGCGTCGGGGCTCTCGGATGACTCTGATGTGCAGGCAGGGCCAGAACCAAGGCCGTGCAGTGATGTTCACTGCAGCTGCGTTTGAAATAGCAGAAACCTTGAAACAACCTAAATGTCTATCGGTGGGAAACTGGTTAAATAGGCAGTGGTTTCTCTGCAGGATGAAATACACACTGGGGTTCAAAGATGAAAGTCTCTCCCTTGCTCGGCCTTAAGGCCCACGTGAGCTGACTGCTGCTTCTCCATCCTGTTTCCCAGCACGCTCCCCTCTCTCTTCCACTTCAGGGACACTGAATTCCCCTCATCGTTGAGCCACACAAATATGCTCCCGCCACAGGGCCTTTGCACATGCCGGTCCTTCTGCCTAGGATTTCCTCCCTCCCGAACTCTGCATGACTCGTTCCCACCTCTCCTTCAGATGCTTTGCTCATGTTACCTTCACAGAGAGGGTACCCCTGACCAACTTCGCTCAAACAGCACCCGGAGCCCACCCTCTGTCCCTCTGTCCCTCTGTCCCCTATCCAACTTTACTTTTCTTCCTAGTATCACCCCCTCAGAAATTACATATATAAGTTACTTATATATTTACTATACCATTTCATATATATTTATATATTTATAAACTGTATATAAATTTATAACTTATATGTAATACATAATCATATCATGTAATACATAAGTCTGCATAAATTACATAGAATCTATATTATCATGGTGTCTCCTCCTGCTGGAATGAAAACTCCGGGAACATCCTCATTTCCATCATTGCCCATAATAACAGATTATAACACTTCGGGGTGCTTACTCTGAAACTAGGCTTCTGGGGTTTAAATCCAAGTGCTGCCTCGAAGTAGCCGTGTGCCCTTCTAACCAATCTGTGCCTCAGTTCTCTCATCTATGAAGTGGGGATAAAACAGTACCCATCTCATAGGGCTGTGGAGATTAAACTGTATAAAGCACAGTGCCCGGCCCACGGTCCTCACTCTGTAACTGTTGGGTGCCAGTATTATCACAGCACCTAGGGCAGGGCCTGGCACGTAAACACTTACCGGATAAATGAATAAGTTACACACAGACACCCAGATATAGCATGACCCCATTTATGTAAACACACCCACAAGATGCATTTCTAAGTGCATGTTTATGGATTTAAATGCAGAGGGGAAAAAATGCCTGGGAGCAGCATGCCAAACGCTAACAGTGCTGCTAACCCTTGAGAATGAAACTCAGAAATGCTCACCAGGCGTTTCGCTGTAACTGTATCGTTTAGGTTTGGTGGTTTTCTTTTTGCATGTGCCACGTGTAAAATAAAATACATTTGCAAACACAATCTGTTTCTCCCAAGTGTTTAGACCCCGAAGGATGCAGCTGTGCTGGCCTGCGTCACCACGCGCCCATCAGAGGGGCGCCGTGGGCAAGGGGAGGCCGGCGAGGCCGGGCCGGCCCGCGCCCCTCTCACTCTGTCTGTTTGCACCACGCAGAGCCTGAGCCGCCGGCGGGCGGCGAGCACGCAGGCCGGACCTCACCCACACCCCCGAAGGAGCTTCTGAGGAATGGATCCTTGGCTTCCGACTATGAGATCTTTTCCTCCAGGACTCTCCAGAGGCAGGTCCCTGGCAAACGAACTTTTTTTAAAAAAAAGTCCAAAATGTAGGAAAACCAAGCAGCACAGCCAGGTCAGCCAGCTATTGATTGTTTTTTAAAAACCAAGTGTCGCTGTTTCAGTTTAGCAAAAGCCATTGTGTCCATTGCTCTTCTCCAGAGACGAGCCTCAGGAAATCTCATTACTTTTAAGTGGAGGTCAGGGAAAGTGTCCAGATTTGGGGGAGGAGAGGGAGGTTCTAGGAAGAGCAATGGATGATGGTATTTGCAATGTCAAGTACAAATGTTTGCGGCATGTTTAACGCGGTCTAATAGAGCTGAATTTGTGCATTTTTTCCTTTGATTTTTATATGTTGTGGCTTCACTTCCATCTTCAGTAGCTCCTCCCTCATCAAAGACACAAACACAGGGGCCTTCTGGCCTTTTGTCTTGGCCCACGTTTCCTCAAGGCCCCCCCACTCCCTTGCTTGCACCCACCGTTGGTCAACTTGACCTCAACCTCACTTTCCACCCCAACAGATGAGAACATGCTTATGGTCAATTCCAGGAGCACCTTCCCCATCCCAGTCTTGGGAATAAACTGGCTGTGTTTATGGAATGTGCTTTTTTCAAACTCTTTTTTTTTTTAAGCAAGTCTCAGGCAAGATCTTTGATTTTCCTGGGTGCCACCGGGAAATGCAACCCATTAAATTTCTTTCCTCTCAAATGTAAACCCTTTAGGTGTGATTGTATGGGTTAACGATGCTATTATTCTGCCTGCCGGAACACTCCAGCCCAGTGTCTCTCAGAGTGCGAGGCACACCACTGGTGGCACACAATTTCTAAGTTGTTTACAAACACGACAGTAAATGGCGCCGACTCACAAAGAACATTTTCCCTTTTCTGTTCTTTTCCAATCTCTGTTTAGGGCTCATGGGTCCTTAACACCTTTCTGATACGTTGGCTCTTCTCCGGGCTCGGTAAAGAAAGAGCAGGCCTCAGGTTCAAAGTCTTCTGTCTAGATAGAATTTAATACATGGTGTCATTGTCATTGTATTTGTTTTTGGTTTTTTAATATGTTTTTATTGATTTCAGAGAGAGGAATGGAGAGGGAGAGAGAGAACATCAATGATGAGAGAAAAGTCATTGATTGGCTGCCTCCTGCATGCCCCCTACTGGGGAATGGGGATCGGGGATCGAGCCCGAAACCAGGGATGTGCCCTTACCTGGAGTCAAACCATGACCTCCTGGTTCATAAGTCTATGCTCAACCGCTGAGCCATGTCGGCCAGACAGTCATTGTATTTCTTTATTAATTACCTTCCATTTATGGTTTCCTCTTAGGGATTTGATATATGGTTTCTGTTCAAATAAGTTGACTTAAAAAAAGTAAGTGGACTCTAAGAAAATATCAAGTGACTAACACAACAGGTGACACGTGTATATGGCAAAAGTAAGTTAAGAACTAATATTGGAGCCACAGTGATAATGAACTTTCCTAAAGCAAGAGAAGAGGCTGCTTATTCTAAATGAATGAACATGAGGCTGAAAGTCAGAACGCCTGGGTTCCATGTTTGCCACTGACTATGCAGATTGATGTGAGCAAGTTTCTCAGCCTCTCTGTGAAGCTACTGCATCTGGAAAATGGGGATAACACCGCCTGCCTACTTACCTCAATGTCGTTAAGCGAGTTAATTGCCATAATAGCTGGAGGGAAATTCTAAGTGCTTGTTCATAGATTATTATGAATCTTAGGCATTGTTAAAATCCTGGACCCTTGTAAAAAAAAAAAAAATAGACGTTGATGGACATCAGATTCTACCTGTCACTTTGCCCAGTTGTCTGTCATGAGCCAGCACCTGTCCAAGGAGGACACTGAATCGGGGCTAAGAATCCTCAGCACAGAGGTCCTGGGGCCATTCCAGTAGATTGGACCCTCATTTCTGTTTCTGACATCGTGGTTTTTGTTTGTTTGTGTTTGGCTCCCTGATCTTTTACCCAAATCAAATACAAAGTGTTGCTGAGAGGCAGAATAAAAATGGTTTTAAGTAAGCCTGTTTACCATGGTGTGTAAATTGTGTTTGGGGGCGGGGGGGATTCCCAACCTTCTAGAGACTCCCATACCCAAAATGGGCTCATGGATGGATAGCAGCCTCAGCCTGTAGGGAAGACCACAGAGAGGCCAGGGGTGGGGCTAGGGAGGCATCAACTTGGAACTAACTTAGGGCCTGAAGTGCCCTTCTAGGAGGCATTGAAAATGGGGATCCAATAAAGTCACTAAGTGAGATCCCTGGGATCAAGAAGGGGTCTGACTTTTGTTGGGCCCCCAGGGCCTGGCAGATAGCTTTCAGGCCCTGGTGACAAAAATTGGGGGTGATGGTCTTCTCCAGGGCCCCTGCAAGGCTAAGAAGCCCCTACTTCACTCCAAAAAGCACTGTTAGAAAAAGGACTGACCAAGTGCATCAGCCAGAGGACTCTTCCAGCAGTCAGTGACACAAAAAAAAATTTAAAAAAATTTGGGTAGCGCAAAAAGTAGAGTTTACTGGCTATAAACTGAACATTCCAGGGACAGCTTCAGGCATGGCTGGATCTTGGTGCTCAGCCATTATTAAGAACTTCACCCTATCTGTGCCTCTTCTCTAATAGCTACGGGGGGGGNGGACAGCTTCAGGCATGGCTGGATCTTGGTGCTCAGCCATTATTAAGAACTTCACCCTATCTGTGCCTCTTCTCTAATAGCTACAGGGGGGGAANTGTGCCTCTTCTCTAATAGCTACGGGGGGGGAAAAAAAAAAAGTTCAATTTGAAATAATGTACAATTGATTGGGAACTGGAACCAGCCCATCAGAATGGACAGCAGCCATTAACAAACAGGTGCGGCCACCCTTCCAACACAAATTGCTGCAGCGGCCAGGGGTGTGTGGCTCCCTCTTTAGCCAGGCCTGGGGCACAAGTCAGCCAGTGGAGCTCAGGGTGAGGTCAGCTCCACCCAAACTTTATGGATTGAGGGTGTGGGAAGGGTGGTTTCCCAAAGGAAAACCAAAGTGCTTTTACCAGAAGGAGAGACCGATGCTGAGCAGGAAAAAAACCACTGTCTGCATTAAGCTTCCTGCCTCTTCCTATGCCTACCACAAGCAGGACAAAAGTAATCTAATAACTTTTCACTTTCTCCACTCTGTTGTCACCCCTGTCCATGTCCTCAGTCGGTCATTATTTACAGAGCCCCTGCTCGACCCCAGAAACTGGGCTAAGGCTTTGGCGGTGCCAAGATGACAAAGAGAGACCCCTGGGAAGGATTCACCATCTAGCAGGGGAACAGGTACACACAAAATTAGGAGGAAACCTGAAAGGGCTAAGACAGAGGCCTGCACAGTCTCTTGCAATCACTTTGCAGGCGGAAGGACTGGCTGATCCCCAGAGGGGAAGCCTCGGGGAGCGGATGTCCCTGTCCCACCGCTCTGTGCACTGCTGAGGCTGATATGGCCACCGCTCTGGATGCCGCCCTGTCTTTGCCCACGAGTTACGGGCAGAAGCAGATGCAGACATAAAATCGCTGGCCTCAGCTCCTGTATCAGCAAATTATCTTTGGCCTGCACCAGGACAGCTGCCTTCAGCAAAACAGTGTTCTACATGTATCTTGATACGTAACCTTAGACCCAGGCTTCTAAATATAAGAAACAGTTTTAGGCCACTGATTACAAAAAATATATATATTTTAAGACATCATCCACATTCACTGGCTATTACCAAGCCTACAAAAATCCTCGTGGATGTTGCATATTTGAGCCTGGGGAGTTACCCTATAAAAATAGGTCTCTAAACCAAGACTCTTGGGATTGTGATTTTGACAAATACAGAGAGAGGTGTAAGGATTACCCAAGCATCACCCATCAGCCCTGGAGAAGCCTCAGAAAGAAGGAATCCCCTTTCCAGTGGAGTCTGATTTATTTATGATGTGTTCCAACAGAGATTTTTTTATCAGGGGTCAGGAGGGGTGGGTACAAAGTTGCCCTTGAGCATGTTTTGTGTCGGGCATATGATTTCACCTGGGTACCTGCAGCGGCCAGATCACATCTGCAAGGGCCCAGTCCCAGCATTTATCCCGAGAGTACGCTTGCTGAGGTGCTCTGGCATTTAGTTTTCCAAAGCTGTCTGCTCCTGGCACTGTCACCAACTGTTGATTGGCCAGGTGACAGGGAATCCCGTGTACGGGGACTAGTTGTGCTTCCGAGTGAGTATAGGGACAGGAACTCCAGAAAGGCCAAATCCTGCCTCTGTAGAGGTGACAAATGGCCTGGTGACCGGCAGGAAAGAGGACCTATCACAGATGCCAATGCCTTGTAGGTAAGGTAAATAAATAGTTCCTGAGCCAGCACCAAAGCTCATTAAAACCATCCCAGTAGCTTTCTTCTAGGTCTCACTGTTCATTCATTTCCAGCGGATGCTGTAATACTACAAACTTAGTGACTGAAAACAGCCCCTGCTTATTATGTTACAGTCTGGGAGGTCGAAAGTCTGAAATGGGCCAAAATCTAGAAGCAGGCGGGGTTGCATTCCTTTCAGGGCTCGTCTCCTACCACTCACCTTCCCTCACTCTGCTGTAGCCACACACTGGCCTTCCTGCCGGTCCCCAAACATGCCAAGATCATTCCTGCCTCAGGGCCTTTGCATGTGCTATTTCCTCGGCCCAGAACAGTTTCCCACATTTTCACATAGCTGGCTCTTCCTCTTCCTCCAGGTCTCAGCTTCTCACCTAAGGCAGCCACCCCACCCCACCCCGAGTCCCTCGCCGTCACATCACCCCGTTTCATTTCCTCTGCACCTAGAGAAGGAAGCAGCACACGGCGGGTGCTCCACACGTGTTTGTCGAATGAGTCGAAGGCTCTTCTCCCATATGCCCTCCCCCTAGCTAACGTCCACTCCCTTGCCTTGGATTAAATGCCTCTTCTTCAGGGAAGCCTTCTCCTCAGGATATCAGGGTCTCCTTTCGGCGTGCTCCCACAGCCCTGCAGTTTACTCCAAGGTCTCCCCACAATGGCAATGACTGTGTAATGATCATTTCCTACCCGTCTACCCAGCACTCTGTCGACCCCTCTGAGAGTAGGAGTCACACTCACAGCTCTCACCTCTGCACACCTGGTCCCTTGGCATATGGAAGGTTTTTGGCAATTACGTGTTGACTAGAATGAATAAATATATAATGAATAAAGGTGTAAAAGCAGGGAGTGGTGGAAAAAGAGAACGGAACCAAATATTGCTTTATCACCTTGGCT